CAAGATGCGATCCATCTCCCTCGCCCTTGCCTCGTGTAAACCGTCCTGACCAAACTGAGCATAACTTGAAAGTCCATATCGAATATACAGCAGGCGATGTACTAGTACATACTAGTACTCAGAGCTGTCATCATAATACGAACTATTATTATTCCGGTAGTACTAACGTTATTATGGTATTATTAGTAACTTACAGTACTAGTAAGTACTACGTAGTAGTACATACGGAGTTGTAGCTACTGTATCAATCAATACCAGTCATACGTAGTACTCGAGTACAGAGAAAGGAGTAGGAACTCGCGCAGTGGTATCGACACTATTTTTTTTCCATGGAGCATTCATAAATTCCGACGTCAACCAATAGTATTTTTTCATATTTTATATTTTAACCAATAGTATGCTCATAAAAAGTTTGTAAATTGTATGATTGGATATAATAAAATTAATCAGATTGATCTGATTGCAAAATTATAATTCGTACTCGGAATCACAACTTGCGCATTCGCATACAATTCCCCATATATTTCATAATACCACTGTGCGCGAGTTCCTACTCGGTTCTCTGTACTGTACTACCGTATTATTAATACTGTAACTTATAGATACTAGTATCTGTATATTTATGTCCGTTTCTGACCTAATTTCGAGTTGCAACACACTTTCAACAAGGACATTCATCATCTCTTTGTTTACAATTTCCTGCGTATTCCTTCCATGATTACCTCGAGGCATGTCACAATTCCGGTTATGTTCGGATACGATTGTCTGTGCAATGAAATTGGCAGTATTTTTGAGCATCATTCTGTGCCCTGATGCATAGAATGAAGTCGTTAGTCTTCTTAGTATAGCGTCCTTCCTCTAAGTGTCCTCATATTTATTTCACTAGGCAGTGCGACGTTGTTCACAGTCAATATCGGTTTAACGGTAGTGGAAAATGATCGAATTTGGTAAATATATTTCATTTGTCCAAACTTGTCACATGGCTGCTGTTGCAGCAACCTTGGTGTCTCTGCAAGGTGAACAAAGTTGCACATGCTGGACATGCACGGGAATTCCAAGTGATTGCATGAGCGATGAAATCCATCATTCTGCTCGCAACATAAATCCACTCGAGCGATTAGAAGCCTCCACGCACAGTCTATAGCGGGGCAGTTTTGTACATTGTTAGCCGCGTGTAAACTTGAGCACCAGCCAATCGGAATGCACGTCCATATTGGAAATCGATCTATGATGAACAACCCAGTTGCTTTGAGTCCCACTCGTACTGTGCGCTGTTTGTGTGTCATCTGTGTCATCCTCAACCGAAGAATTCCCGATTAAAAAGGTTCCACTGTTTATTTTCTCAGGAAATTGGTATTTTCTCGTTTATATGGGACTTAGTGGTTAAGTGCATCTCAGTGGTTAGCGATACCTAGCTACTGGTGATGCAGTTAACCCCGGGGAGTTAGCATTATACGTACTCACCGGGGGCAGGACGGAGTCCAACGCCGTTACAGGGCTAGTAAAGTGTATCCGGATGGCATCATAACTCCCCCATTGAAAACCGTAATTCGAGTTCAAACAACAGTGACAACTGTTTGATTCGGGGAATTCGTCGTCTCCACGGGAACAACAACAACACAATAATACCTACGTACCACCCACATGCATAATAAATACACACCAGTATTATTATTGACAGCTCCATTTTGAAATTCGAGGGCCACCTGAACAAGTCAAGGATGCGTCGAGCCGCGACATCCCCAACCTCATCGTCGTCGTCACCAGTGACAGACGATCATCCTATGGCCACCAACGCCACCAACGTACAAAAATCTAAACATGACCACACCCGGCAAGCCAGCATCCTGTCCATGCGTCGGTACTACGCCAAGAATCGCGATAAAGAGCTACTACGGTTCAAAGAGTACTACCAAAAGAACAAAGACCGCATCCGGGCTTACAAGAAGCGAGCTCGGGAGCAGACCAAGCGGGTCGACAAAGCAGAAGCCACTCAATCGTCTCCACCACACAGGAACCATCACCTCCACGACCTGTTGTCGCCAGCAGAGATGACCCACACAACCCACGGATCATCGCCACAAGCCAAGCTAACCATGTCATTTTTATTGAATTGAAGTCGTGTATTTCACGTGATGTTTGTTTGGCATTTGTGTTAGTGGTGGCGGTGGAGCGAGTAGTCGGTCATAACGTTAAGCACTTTACGGGACTCCCTGTAGGCTACTACCGGTACTAAAGTAGAGTAACAATGAGAAAGTATATCATACCGGTATTACAAGGGATGTCGACACAGTACACAACCTCGATTGAAATCGGCCCTGGAGTGCAAATCAAATACGTTGGAAACTTTCTCATGGTTGCCCTGTTACAATTTACTGCTACGTATTCGAATGAACATTCGGGCGCATCGATTGCTTTAACCTTTAACTTGTAGGCGCATACAGTGAACCCCAGAGAGGTGGTGATAGCAAGCCAGCTTTGTGATTGAAAATTCGACATTACAGGCGACAGTGATTGGTTAAAATAGGGAGCGGGGGGCTATAATGAGAACAAAGAGCTTGTTCCTCTCTCACTCCCCACCGTTCTGAAGGCCCCATACCCACCCCCACTGCTGAGTGCGATCGAAATCCTTGGCTTGCGAGCCCAGAGTTGAAGGGCATGAGAGATAATGGAACTGCCCAGATGGGGAAATGTTGCGAGTGTTGGATTCATATCACGGCCACATCGATACGTTGTGGTGGCAACCTGGGCAAATCCCACCGTAAGTGGGGGGAAAATTCTGCGTCTCTTGCACCTGAAACGTCCTTGTACTAGGATCTCTATATTCTTGAGTCCCGTCAATGCAAGTGGCTGGTTGCATAGTTTCGAGTCAGTTGGAACCTGGGGGTCATACAAGATACAACCGCACTCACTTGTCTCTTCATTTTTTACACTCTGCATACATGGTAACGTTAGTACTTGTATCCGTGTTGTTAAAAACGCTCAAACGACAATTCATCAGCAATGTGTGTCTCTACCGAATGGATGATGATGGACGAAATCGAACTGTGAAATATCATTCGACTGTCGAATTCGTTCGCATGGAACACATCAACTTGGGGCGAGGGAGTTTACACAATACATTGGGAAACTATGGGAAATCGTTCAAGAAATCTGGATACCGTTCAGCCAAGACTGAAAACCGTTCAAGCAAATGTTCTTCCCGTAACCCTGTACCCCCGCGACTTCGTTCTACCCCCGCGTGCACATACAGTACTTCGAAGTATAATGCTAAATCCCCGGGGTGAGGTGGTCAGAGTACAAAAAATATGCCTCATCTAACTAGAGTTTATTAGTTTGAACGGTTTTCAGTCTTGGTTGAACGGTATCCAGATTTATTGAACGTTTTTCAGGGTTTGTCAATACATTGCGGTCATTTCCAGCTACTGTACCTACAGTACTACTATACTGGTAGTACTATTAATCGTATGCCATTGTGTTTGATAGGCGTCGGCTAAAACGTAAACAGCCTCTGGTTAGCCATGGTTCAGGTACCACCAGTACATTACCATACAGTAGCTCTGTATTGAAGTCGACGAAATGAAGGCAGTTAAGGAACTTTGATTCAGCTTGTGAGTGGGTAGTGATAGCTACTCCGGAGTAAGAAATATCTGAGGGTGAGGAGGCGGGCGTTTAGCATGTTAGTGTTGCATTTCTACAGTTGCTCAATATCCATGATCCAAGGGTTCAGTTAGTTGTGTCTGAAGTCAGTGTGGTGGTTGGCGTGGACGTATTGGTGTCCCCCCCGTCGACGAGGGCGTCGCGGGTGTGGCTGTGGTAGGCATGTTGGTGGTTGGCGCTGGCATCGATCGACGCTTGCTCATGTTTACTGTTGCGTCGGAGCCAGCGTGTGGAGACTGTCTTAGTCGAGAATGGTTACACTGTACTGGTTCTACTGTATAGGGGATAGGGTGGTTGGTGGTGGTTAAGAAGTGGTGAGTGAGTTGATAGTGTGTGAATGACAGACACAAAGAATTGAAAGGACCATTCGTAGCTTTTAGGGGTGAAACATTTGTTACGGGGACGGATGTATTGTTTAGGCAATGCCCTTGTATTTCCCATTAACCATGAAAGTTTTTACGGGAAAGGCGATATCCGACACAATACACTGTAATCACCCTGAGCTGTTTACTGTAACTTGCATGGAACCATGAATGGTCAGCTAACAGTACTACTGTATTCCCAATCCAGATGTACAGAGAACCCAGTAGGAACTCGCGCACAGTGGTATCGACACTATTTTTTTTCCATGGAGCATTCATAAATTCCGACGTCAACCAATAGTATTTTTTCATATTTTATATTTTAACCAATAGTATGCTCGTAAAAAATTTGTAAATTGTATGATTGGATATAATAAAATTAATCAGATTGACCTGATTGCAAAATTATAATTCGTACTCGGAATCACAACTTGCGCATAGGGGGGGGGGAATAGCTCAGGTGGTAGAGCATCGGTTTCTTAACTCAAAGGTCGTGGGTTCGATCCCCGGATTCCCCGGATTATTTCCGCAAGGATTTATCCGTCCCTCCCCTGGGGAATCTGGAGAACAAGGGCTGCGTACGAAGACGAGGACCGAACTTCGAAGAAGAGCGGTCGAAGCACGAGGTATGAAGCGTTGAGCGAAGTAAAACCCGAAGATTACACACCGCCCCTGGTCGAGCAGGCGCGTTACAATTGGCGAAGCGGTTCCATAACATGTGGTTCTAGTGTCGGCCCTCGCGAGGAATGTCTTAAAAATGATAATCCAAACTCAATTAATCACAACTTGCGCATTCGCATACAATTCCCCATATATTTCATAATACCACTGTGCGCGAGTTCCTACTCGGTTCTCTGTACTAGGTTGCTAAACCAGTTCGTCACTTCAATTGTGAAAGTATAGGTGGACCGGGATTACTCAAAGAGTCTCACTGAAACAATTATTGACGAAGTAGTTGCGGTGCAAATTCCATGTCGCGAGTGAACTGATTGGACTCGGGTATATTTCCGAAACATCGCCAAATTTCCGAAATCGGTCACAATCTGACGTAGCGGTGAGCATTTCGGGTATTTGCTACGTGGTTCCAGTTTTTGGAATAAAAATACACCTGGACAACGAATAAAAAATGAGTTTCAAATGGATACAAATAACGTTAAACCTTACAAAAACCCTGGTTTTAAGGTATAAAACGGATTAAAACAAGGGTAATCGGGTAAAAGACGTCTAAA